ATAGCTTCTAGAGGAACAGGCCACAATCATAACATTTTAATAACTTACAAAGTAGTAAGTCATTCATAGATATACACTGGAACCAACTTGGAGTAAAAAATAGTACTTGGTTCATTAAAATAAAAATCTGTCCACCGTAAGACCTATAAAACAAACAATTTAAGTAACTTACACCTTCTGTCATTGTTATTATTGTCAGTTACTATTCAAGGGGAAAAAAGCTTACTATTACAAGGGGAAAAAAGCTAAGGAGATCCCAATACTTAAGGAATGCCATACTCTGATTAGCTAAAATAAAAACAGGAGCAAGATTAAAGTCCACAGTGTGAAGGAAGTGATATATGAAACTGAGAAGCTAATTTAGTTCTGGTGACAAATCTGGCAACGGTTTAAGAATAAAAGTTATTCTTAAATAATAAGAATATGGGCAACATCATCCTGCAGTACACGTTCAGTCTTTAATACGCCTACCTTAACACTACAGTGTCCTTTCCCCCAGAGACAGAAAGAAATGCAGAAGGCAAGAGTAAGGAGAAGGAACAGAACTGTTGCCATCGCTTGCAGACACAGACATGAGATGCCTGGTTGGCCTACATCTGAACATCCTACTGACTCAGGAAGGCATCCGGAACTTTGGTATCAAAAAGAAGACAAAGTGGAACTGTGGAGACAACAAACAGGCATTGCCTTAGGTCTGAGAGAGACTGACGATTTTAGGAAGGAAGAGTGTCCTGAAGCAGGTATGACATGGGACTTCACCAACTAGAAAGTGTAAAGTAGTGGAACCAGCTGTACCTGCAAGGAAAACAGTGTGACTAACTCAGATGCTGGCTTTGACACTTTCTTAACGGGCTCTGAAAGACCCTACAGAAGAGCACACCAGAAAACACCAAGTCCTCTCCTAAAAACAGATGAGTGAACCAAGAGATACACTGGGGGGTGGGAGAGGAAGGGGGGTGGCTGGGGAAGAGAGGAAAAGCTCATTCACATGCACTGCAATAGGTTGTTGGAACAGTGCTCATCCAATGAATAATTCATAACAGTTAATTACCAGGACCACTATGTTCTATCAGCAGTTTTCCAGTACCTAAAGGGGGCCTACAGGAAAGCCAGAGAGGGACTTTTTACAAGGGCGTGTAGCGATAGGACAAGGGGCAGTGGATTTAAACTGAAAGAGGGGAGATTTACGTTAGATATAAGGAAGAAATTCTTTACATTGAGGGTGGTGAGGCACTGGAACAGGTTGCCCAGAGAAGTTGTGGATGCCCCATCCCTGAGAGTGTTCAAGGCCAGGTTGGATGAGGCTTTGAGCAACCTGGTGTAGTGGAGGATTTCTCTGCCCATGGCAGGGGGGTTGGAACTAGATGATCTTTAAGGTCCCTTTCCAACCCAAACCATTCTATGATTCTAATAACATGGGATAAAATCAAGAATGGTGTTTGCCATTGCTCCCAGTAGAGATCAGAGTCTATTCTGTATATGTGCACACAGGAGCAAAGGAATTATTCAGTAAGGTTAAGTTAGATATTAGACTGACCCATTTGCTGGAATTAAATCTCTGCTTAAGAACAATTACACATACACAAAAGAAAAAACTAAAAGAGGCAGCATGACCAAAACACAAGTCTTCTGCCCTATTACACACAGAACCATAGAATGGTTTGGGTTGGAAGGGACCTCAAGGATCATCTAGTTCCAATATATCATTTTATTTGCCACATGAAGCTAAACCTGTACAAGTCTGTACGTACTGCACTGAAAGAACTATTCTCTAGCTCAAATGATGAACAAAACATGAGAAATGTTAAAGTTATGGCCCCTTTTGCAATGTTTGTGCAGTCATTATCAACGTTATCAGTTCAGAGCTTCAGAGAGACAGAAACACCCGTCACCTGCGACTGGTGCCGAACTTGCACCTGTACCACTCAAACGCAAAATTCAAATTCTGCTACACAGAAACGTGAAATTACAGCCTTTAGTAAAGAATTAGACGTTTAAACAGGAATGAGAAATTGGACCAAAACTACATATATAGTTAAAGACACAAGTAAACATACATGACTTTTAATTCAAGATCACATTTTTACATAGAAGTAGTATTACATTCCAATCTAACAGTATGGCTTTTTCCATGAACAAGTGGGTGTTTTCAGATTTAAAACCCGAAACTGTTAGTTGTCTAAGAAAAACCAGAAAAATTTAGTTACGTTAGAAAGAATTAATATCGAGAAATTAAAGCGAGATTAAAGTAAAGTTTATGACATCAAGATAGACACCACTATGATTTAATTTTGGAAGACATTTCACCTTCGATTTTATTATTCATCATAACTGTGGCAGCACATTTCACCTGTGAACTTTCATCTTAGAATACTGAAAAATATGGCGTCACTTTTTTTTTTTTAATTCAATAGACTGAAACGCACCTGAGCAAAGCAAAATTAAACTTCAAAGACTAAAGAAAGCATTTAGCTGAACTCAGTTTTGCCTTGTGGACATGCACAAAATAAAGAAAAAAAGTAAAATAAATAAACAGCTTTTAGCACTTATCCACAGTAAGATGTAAGGTGATTTAATAAAAGACAGCTAATAAAAGTGATCAGCTCACAATGAAACTGTACAAGTCATTAGTTCACATTTAAACAATAAATCTGATTGCAGTTTTGAACACAAAAACATAACTTAAAATCCTATTTTATTCAAATTTGAAAAACTATATTGATTTTAAGTAGTTTAAATACATTCATTCCCAGTCAAAGTTTTACAGTAACTGATGATTTTTCAATCACACACACAACCAAGTTATAAATCCCTGAAACATGGATTTATTATAGGAATACTGATAAAACCTTAACAGAGATACAAATGATACATCACATAGTGTCTTTCACCTTAACAGTAAGTACTTGACCCTCTTGGATTGACAGATGCATCACCTCCTACTGTTAGACTCTAATACCATCCCCTAGGACCAAGTGGTTTAAACTGAATTCACAACAGTTTGCGGTTACCTAAAAAAGATGATTTTTTTTTTTTTTTTTTTAAATCACACTATAAAATATTCATCTTCTAACCAGTATTTCAAAATTTCTGGAAAGAGAATTTCCCAGTTATAGTGGTGACTAAACACACTAAACAAGGACAGCCACTGCAGTGAATTTGAGAAAATAATTTGAGAATCAGTGCCCCTGCAGAGATTTCATATACAGCAGTACCGCCCTTGACATAAGCTAATTGGTGCATGTTTATCTGTGCATCTTAGGACCTTACTTACTCTACCAGTAGATCTTGGGACTCTTAGGTTAATCTCATTCTGGCACTAACTTTCTGTGGGGTAGGGCAATTTCCAAATGAAAGGCACTCTGTTATCAGTGAAATCAGAATTACCAGTAACGCAAATGGACAACTTGTAGACTACAGCAGTTCTCTTCAATATGTTACGTGAGGTCTAAAATTAAGTACTTCCCTTAAAAAAGGGTGGAAAAATACTTAGAACAGCTGTAATGCACGTGTTTGCATGCACACAGAGATTAGCCACTGTATAAGCAGAGATCTTCCAAGTAGCTCAGCTGTTGTTGGTTCCCCCTCAATGCTTTTTTTCACTTCGGCAGAACCAAGCTTCTAAAGGTTCAATTCTAAAGGTTCAACCGTGCTGTCAGATGAATTGCAGAACAGCCCATGGACCACCACTGCATTGCTTCCTGCAGTGCACAGCAAGCAGGTCTGCAGAGAAAGTTGCAGGAATCATCCTCTCTAGTAGAACAAGAGCACAGGCACACAGTACTACTTTGTCCCA